TTATTATCATTATTCTTTAGAAAAGGCCTCCTGTTATCCAGTTCATCTCAGCAAATGGATGAACTGTAGATGTTTCACCTTTCAGGAGTGGTGAGCAGACACTATGGGAGAGAAGAGCAATCTGCCACCAGACACAAAGTCACTGGTCTTTTCTGAAAAAGACCAGGGTGTAGTACATATGCAACAGCAAAAACAAAGCAAAACCAAAAGAACCCCACATGAAGAAACTGTACTCACCTGGCAGAATTGCACAAGCATTTCCCTCACTAACGTTCCTTTTAGACACTAGGGACGACAGGACTGCAGTGTCTGACGACGACTCCTGGTAGAGTAGGGGCTGTGGGCCCACCAGAAATGGGAAGGAAGAAGATGAGGCTCACAGCTGTGGGGACCCAGGGAGCTCTGTCCTACAGGGTCACCCTGAATTGAAACTGACTTGATGATGGTGCCTCTGGGTTATTCCAAGGCCTGTCCTGCACATCTGAAGTCTAACGGACAGCAAGCTTAACAGAATGCAGGCCTTTGAATGACGACAAAGCCGAGAAGGCTGGTTGGTGGGGAAACTAGAAGGGAAGTCCTGCCAAGAAAGCAGGTATTCCTATGTTCCAGACAGGAAAGGTGAAGTCACAAGGGCGAATTATAATAATTTTGGTATAAGCCAAAGAGATAATTGCTTCTTTCCCAACGAATATTCATAACCTTGAGGTAGGTGATGATGTCATCGGCTACTGAAGAAATTACATTTAAGATAAAAAATTATGAAACAGCGGGAAAGGAAGCCCCAGTTACTTTAAAATACACTATTTCCTTTAAAAGTCCAGGTGTAAAATGAGGAACACTTGCAAATCCAAAAGTGTAAGCATGAAAAATGAGGCATGTCATGTCACAGTGGATCCTTTATTGAAGAGGAAGGTCGCTGTCCACATAGGACACCACTCTGAAGACACAGCAAGCCACAAAGTGCTGTCCCCAGGAAGGAGCTGCAGATGACCTGGCCACTTAGGCTCATTTCCAGGTGTCCCGGATTTGGATTCTGAGGTTTTTCGTCAGCATTTAACGAATTAATTCTGTGTTGGTTGAAGGGGCTGGGACTGTTTCTCCACACATAAACTGATTTTTTTCCATAGATGACTTTTATAATAAGGGAGCAGCTAGGACACATCGCCATGTCTCCTCATCATATTGGAAGTCCTCGACCTCCACCTCGTCATGAAACATAGCTATTGTCCCTGAGCCAGCAGGAGGGCAGACACGTCTGCCGTATCACTCCAGTTCCTCCGGTCCATCAAGGTAAAGTTTTACAGTAAAATGTGTGAAGACCTGGAGTTAGAAAACCAAAAGAAAAGGATATAACTGGCTTTTCTTTTCAAGCCAAAAACTGAAGAGAGAATTCAAGGCTTGGGCTGCAACGTGAAAGATTCTATATACAAAATAGAATAACACAACTTTAAGATGGAAGGAATATAAAGAATCTATATCCCCCAAAAAAATGTTTAACAACCTGAGTCTTGGCTTCGTTATCTAGTGCTGTTTAACAGAAATACCACAAGTGAACAGTTTTAACATAGAAAAAATTTTTCTCGTATAGTGTAGGAAGCTAAAGTCCAATAAAGATACTAGCTTAGGGGAAAGCCCATATTTTTTCTGTGCATCATGAGGGAAGTCCTTGTTTCCTTCAGCACCTGCAGACTAGGCACTCCCTGGAGATACATTCATGTCTTGGCCTTTCCTGGTGTGTCCTCAAGCAGAGAACCAACTTCAGAGGATACATTCTACTCCTGGTGATTCTTAATACTTAGAAGTATTAAGGTTCTCCTTTCAGCTTTATTTCCTTTCCTTTCCTTTCTGATTGTTGTTGTTAGGTGCCGTTGAGTATGCCTCATAGTGATCCTAAGAAAAACAGATCTGAACCCTGTCCTCTCCTGTGCCGTCCTCATCATCTCTGACACACTTGAGCCCATTGTTGCAGTCACTGAGTTAATTTGTTTTGTTGAAGGTCTTCCTGTCTTTCCCTGATCCTCTACTTTTCCATGTATGATGTCTTATTCCAAGGACTGGCTGTCCTGGACAACATCCTCAAAGTATGTGAGGTAAAGCTTCACCATCCTTACCTCTAAGGAACACTCTGGCTGCACTTTCTCCAAGACATACCTGTTGCATTGGGAAAAAACTGCTCTCAAGGGTCTCTCCAAGGTGCTAAGGAGGAATTATGGCAGTTTAAAGATGGAGGTACATCTGATTCAAGCCATGGTTTGAATGCAGCACTTGAAAGTTGGGCAATAGAAAAGGATGACGGAAGAACTGATGCTAATCATATGTGGTGTTGAAGAAGGATTCTGAATATGCTATGGACCACCAAAAGAACAAATATCTTGGATAAAGCGTAACCAGGCTCCTCCTTAAGGCAAAGATGGTGAAACGTCTCAAATACTTAGTGAAAGTTTTTAGAAGGAGACAATTCTTGAAAAAAGACATCCTTCTTGGAAAGGTGGAAGGTCAGCAAAAGAGGGGAAGACCCTCAACAAGATGGATCAGCACAGTGACTAAAACAATGTGCTCAAGTCTATAAGGTGCGATGAGGATGTCACAGGATAGAGCCAGGTTCCTATTCATTATTCATAGGGTCACTGTGAGTCTTAATTGAGTGGATGGCACCTAACAACAATTCATTAGGAGTCTTCCTCTCTTTCTGTGACCCTCCATCTTTTCCAGCATGACATCTTTTTCCAAAGATGGCCTATCCTAACAACGTGCCTATCTAAGGATAGAAGAAAGGATAAGGAAACTTCCTCCTACTTACTTTTGTTATGCAACCAGAAAAGACCAATTGCTCAACAGAGACATTTTGTGTAGTATGTTGTTGTTATGGATTGTCGAGTTGGAAGTGACTCATAGCTGTCCCTTCAGCAGGTTTTCAGAGGCAGTAAGTTTCAAGAAGGAGATTGTCCACTTTTCTTTTGTGAAGCAGGTGGTGGATTTGAACCTCATGCTTTTGCGTTGGCAGCAGGACTTCATACCACTAAGCCACCAGAGCTGCCTTATGTTTAGTCAAATGTCAGTGGAAACAAGGTAAGCAAGTTTCAGTAAGATGGATTGACACAATAACCACAGCAATGAGCCCATATTAAACATCACTAAGATTTCATTCTCTTATACATAATAATGTCATCAAGAGCTAACTCACTAAGTCAACTTCACTTGCAATATTTAAAATAATCCACTAAAAGCCATGTTAATGCAGTCAGTCATTCCATGAGTGAAGGTGGGGGAAACTGTTACTTGAAAATAAAAAGAAAACAATGTCCACATTATGGGGAAGTAAGTCGTAAGGGGAAATCGGATTAATTTTTCAGGTGTTTTCTACAACATGGTTTGATAATTGTAAATCTGGTGCTCATATATGCAAGAACTCAACATTTACTGCCTTGCACTCATTTCCCATTTCTCGGGGGAGGTGGGGAATGGGACCTCTTCAGAAGCCAACTAATTATGTGATCAGAAATTTGTGATGGTGGCAAGACCTCGACACTTTTCCACTGGTGGGCTTTTTCTGCTAAGTGGAATTCGAGGTGACTCTGCATATCCCATTCCCTGAGCCTCTAGCTCTTACTGTAGGAGAGGGCGCATCCCAAATGAGCAGGTATCTTAATCGCCCTACAGAGATCAAACAAGAACTCGACCTTTCCTACCTCTCTTCTCCTAAAGTACTTCTACAACTTTGGCAATTCAGACTTACACTTGGTTAAGTTCATGCGGTTTAGATTCAACGGCAAAGGTACATGTATTTCCATGTATACCATAAACGGGGAGTGGGCTCGTGACCACAAATTGCCATAAATTCGGAACCATCTCATAGCTGACTCATCAGTGGGTTTCCAAAGCTGTAAACTAAAGGGCGGGAGGTTGCCTATCTTGCTACTTGAGCAGTTACTGATGGATTCCCACCGTCAGAGAGGCGTGGCCAGCAACGCAACTGTCTATGGACGACGCCACCAGAGCTGCTTCTTCCATAAATAAAATATTATTTGAAATGGGTTTTGTGTGTGTGTGTGTGTGTGGCAGTAGAGAGGTGTGGCTCTAGCTTACATTTTGGTTTATTATTACACAGAATCTCAGCCCCTGCATCAGTCCTATCGGATTCAGCCAGCAGTTCCCAAATAACTAAGCAGAGGCCAAGGTCACGGACTACAAAACGAGGAATTCTGGGGGACGGAAGTAACGGCACAGCGCAAGGCATGCTGGTCCCGGCGGGCTTGGCGCACGGGCCGCGCGGTGGTCGGTGAGTGTGCTTCGCTATTCGGAGTCCTAACTGGCTCTCTCATTGTTTGTCAGGACTAACATTAAGTATCTCTTGGTGAGAGTACAGCTCTGAGTGTTGCGAGGCTGCAGTACAAACCACGGAATCAGATCTGAAGCTTTACTTGCTGGCGCCTTTGCGACCTTTGCGCATCCTGCAAACATTGTAGGAACAAATGGTCACCAATCGGAGGCTTTCTTCCTTTTAGGATCCAGATATACGGGGCCAGAGAGCGAGCAGGTGGATAACAGAAGAATCCTCAGTTTAGGATAAAAGTTATGTGGCGTGAACTCCTCTGGTCGGAGGAAAGCAGGCTTTGAGCTTAGTCGTCGTACCAGAGTTAAATGCCCTGGGGAAGGCGATCTGAAATGGGATTTGGGGGCGTGCAGTTGCAAGTATGCAAGATGAGTCACCCCAGACTTCTTTGCGTCCCTCTAGCTTCGAGGCTGAATTGTAAATGCTAAATGTATCTTTTTCTAATATATTTAAAATTTGGTTTCTTAAGTAAGACCGTGTATTATTTCTCCCAGCCATAATGTTAGTTCTTTATATATTTGTACTTACTGTAGTAAGTAATTTTCCAAGAGTTCGTAACAAAAAAAGGCTGTTTTCTGCCTGTAGGATGGAGATTACAGGTAAGACATCTGCTTGGGTGGAACATAGATAGTAACCCACAGTGGTGCTGGTTTACATCTGTCCAGCTGGCAAGCATGAGTGAATGGATGAAGAAAAGTCCTCTCGAATGGCAAGATTATATTTACAAAGAAGTCAAGTTGACAGCCAGTGAGAAGAAGGAATATAAAGGATGGGTTTTAACCATAGACCCCGTCTCTGCTAGGTGAGTATATGCCCTGGAACCTGGAAATCTTGACACCTCTTTGTGCTGGCTATGTGTTATATCCAGACATAGAAAGCGATTATTACTGGGTTTTTTTTTAAAAAAATCTTATTCTTTTTTCTGTGTGTGTACCGACAAATTGGATCTGACTGGTACTGAAGGAGATGGCCCCTCCTTCTCCGGCAGAGCATCTGGTGGATATCTCTGGGATTGCAGTGCAGCTTCTTGCCAGTAGGTCACCAGAGCTCCTGATGATTCCTGTTTTCTAAGAAATAGTAGAAAGGCTGATGATTCCTCACTTAAGAATTTAACTTTCTTTACATCTCAGTCTTGTTTTAATTAATAGATTAAACTGTCAGACCAACCAGATTCAAAGGTTAGTATCAGAAATGTGGCCCTCCTTAAATCATAACTGGATTTGTAACAGAAAATGGCAAGTATACACACACACAAAATAGTAAAACACTTTACCCCCTTGTCATCATGCAAATTTCAAGCATTACATCAATTATGCTTAAACAATTAAAGAATTTTTCTTTTGCTTTTCAAAGAGAAGAGTGTAGGGGGGAGGGGTTGGGAGGGGAGAAGGGTGCAACAATGAATGAATGGAAATCCAAAATCTCTGTAAATTTTCATTAAAATTAATAATAATAAAAAAACCAAAAAAATACTTGTTTTTAACAGATAAATTACTTTCAAATAATTGTAACTACAATACTTTATAACACCTAGAAGAATTAAAAATTCTAAATATTAGCTGATTTCCAGCCTGAGTTTGGATTTTCCCGATTGTCACGAAAGTGTCTTTTTCTATTGGTCATTAAATTTGGTTGATGTCTTGTAAGTATCTCAATTTAGAGCTGCTGTTTCCCTTTTATTTTACATGTTGTAGACTTGGATAGATTTTGCATTTAGCTCATTACACCTTCATAATATAGCTTAATGTGTTCCATTATTCCTTCTCATATTTCCTATAAACTAATGTTTAGATGTAGGAGTTTGGTGTTGTACTGTCAAGTCAAAACTAATTAGTAACTTACATTCCATCAGAGGCAGTAGATCACATGGAAGGAGATTGCCCATCTTTCTCCCACAGAGTAGCTGGTGGATTTGAACTGAGTAGCTTTAGTATAGCAGCAGAGCTCTTTACCGGTAGGCCAATAGAGCTTTGCAGGAGTTTGATAAGTGTCAGATTTATATTTTGCAAGAATACTTCAGAGTTGTACATACATACACATAACACACATACTTTGTATTGTGGAATAATTTTAGGTATAATAAAAGTTGAAAATAGACTACATAGAACACTGATACACCCTTCCCCTAACGGTATCACCTTCCATAGCCATTGCACATTTATCAGAACTGATAATTACATTATCTAAACTATAAATTTCCATTTTAATTTGACTAGTTTTTCCACTGATGGCCTTTATTTTGTTCCAGGTTCTATTTTACCTCCGATTTGAGATAGTTTCTTGGTTTAACCTTGTTGTTTGTTTGTTTGTTTATTTATTTATTTATTTTTCACAAACTTGACATTTATTTTGAGAGTATTGGTCAGTTATTTTGTAGAATGTCCCTCAGTTAGGTTCTGTGTGGTATTTCCAGCGAATACACTAGGGTTACTGGATTTTAAGAAGCATATCATAGAAGTGAAATTCACTTCTCATCATACCATGTCATATTTAGGTATATTGAATTTACGTTCATGAGTGACATTAATTTGTTTTCTTTCTCGTCCTTTCTTGCTCTGTTTTTGGTGTCGAGTTTTTTGTTGGTTTGTTTTTTTGGGTTTTTTTTTACATTTTAAAAATTTTTTTTATTATTATTAAATTTTATTAGTTTTAATGAACATTTACAGGGATTTGGGGTTTTTATTCCTTCACTGCTGCACCATTCTCTCTACCCTCCTCCCCAGTTTGTTCTTCTTCCCCACCATCTGAATGTCTGTTTTAATTGTCCAGTTGCCACAGTGCTTGTCAAAGTCAGTTCTGATTAATCTCCTTTGTTGGTGTGTCCTTTGCCATTCCCTATCACTCCTCCCTGAGAGAGACTTCACCCTGATTCATAAGGAAAAGGGGATGGCGTATTCTCTTAGCTACTTCCTGCTGAAAAGGGACGCTGTGGGTTTCAGTGTGAAGATCTTCTCTCACTACTCTAAAGGGCCCCTTTGGCAGTAGGAAACACATAGACTATTATGAAGATTGATTTTGGAATTTAGATGCACTCTTATTGATTGTGCTTGGCCGTACATGTTCATATCCTTGAAGATGTATCATGGGGGTGTTGCAACCTAGAAGACACAAATTTAACTAACAAGTTATAAGTACATGAGTCAAAAATTATGGAAAAGTAAAAGAAAAGATTCTTTCATTGTTTTACAAACCCTCCCCCAGGTCCCCTCCACCATGTAGCCCTTGCTCTAGACTCCTGTGATGACAGAAATACCTAGTCACATATCTCTTTTAAACAGTTTTCTCCCTCCTCTGTTTCAGTGCAGTATACATTATTGAACCCATCTTACTCAGTCTCTCCCCAACCCCGAGGTTAGTCCCATTCTACAACAGTGGCATCATGTAATATTTGTCCTTTTGTGACTGGGATATTTCACTCAGCATAATGTTCTCCAGAGTCAACCATTTTGAATAATATTGCATGAGTTCCTTGTTTTTTAATGCAGCATAGTATTCTGGTGTCAAGTTTTATACCAGCCTCATTACATGACTTAAGGCACATCGTTGTTGCATACCATGGAGTGAGAACTAACACATAGCTGACCCTCCAGAGGGTTTTCAGAGGCAGGGGCAATCTCAGGAGGAAATGGTCCATCTTTTTCCCGTGGAGCATCTGGTGGATTTTAGTGTTGGGCCGTTAGGATTGCAGCACAGTTTCTTACTACTGGGCCACCAGAGCTCCCTGGGTTAAGACATAGTCTCTTTTGTTGTTGATGTTGTTGTGTACCGTCAAATCAGATCTGACAGGCACAGAAGGAGATTGTCCCTTCTTCTCCAGTGGAGCATCTGGTGGATTCGAACCGCATGCCTTCGGGATTGTAGCGCAGTTTCTTGCCACTATGCCACCAACGCTCTCCATAGTCACTTTTCTATTTGAAATAATTTTATTAAATCGGGAGTATGTGATCCTCGAAAATTTTGCTAGAACTTACCTCTAAAAATTGCCTAGACCTCCTTCCCCTAATCCCTTAAGCAAGATTTTTAACTAGTTTATCATCCCACCATGAATATTTACATTTTCTTTAATGTGTATGTATAATTTTCCAGGAAGTTTTAAAACTTTCATTATTTTTGGAATAAATTTGTTTGTAATAGTTTTCTAAATTTAACCTTTGCTGCCTTATTGCTAATAGTTTTATATGTACCTTCTCTCATTCTTTATTTTATTATTTTTGCCTGAGTTATGTGTGAATTTGATGTATTTTTTTTCAGATAACAAACTTGGCTTTGAAGATATTTTGTTTAAATCTTTATTAACCTTTCTGTTTTCTTTTTCATTAATTTGTGCTTTGTTATTTTCTTTGACCGCTTTGGTAGAATTACCCAATTATGCTGTGCTTTTACCTCTTAAAACATGAATATTCACTGCTCTTTCTTATTAAATCTATAAATTTAGAGCATTTATTCTTTACCTAATATTTAACTGTTTCACAGAGCTTTAGTTCTGGATTAAAAAAATGAAATGTTTAGGACCTTCAGCAAATGCTTGTGGAATAAGCTAAAGGATTTGGTTGTGAGAGAATTTATTTCATATACAGAAATGGCATTTCATTTTATTCTAGTCATTTGGTTTAATTGATTTTATCTTTGGGAATGGTGATATGTGTCATTGAATTGCTTTCTCCACTGGTTTTAATGTCCCTTTATGTATTTTTTTGTTGTTTTCTAATCTACTTAAATTTACTTTTCCCTTCAAAGTGTTGTCCTCGTTAACTTCCTTGAAGATGGCAGCCTGTCTGTGACTGGAGTGATGGGACATGCTGTACAAACTGTTGAAATTGTGAATGATGTGGACCAGAGAATAAGAGAGAAGCTGACACATTTGTTCACATCTGGAGACTGCCAAGCTTACAGCCCTGAGGATCTGGAAAAGAGAAGAGACAGCCTAAAGGCGTGGTTGAAGAAGAACCACATCCCTGTCACTGAGCAGGGAGAATCACAGAGGACTATCTGTGTGGCTCGTGTCCTGACGATAGAGCCACCATATGGTCCGGAGAATTGCATCAGTTCTAATGAGATTATTCTGTCCCGGGTTCAGGATCTTATTCAAGGACATCTTACAGCTTCTCAGTCAGACACCAGAAATTGTGAATGGAATGAAATGAAATAAGATTCCTTTTTTTTTCTTCTTAAAATACTTCTGATTTTAAGTGGGTCATATTATAGATCTGAAAAGCACATTAGTGTGTTTGAATTCCTTGTTATTTTGATAAATAAGTGTGGATTATGAGTACTGATTTCTTTGGGAAGTGACCTAGGACAAGGATAGCAGCACATAAAACAAACCTAGCACAAGCACAGCAGAATTCTAAGGGTATTGTAATATGAATACACCCCATTTTTGGCACAAAATACACTTGGAAGAGTATCATGTGTCAAACTCAGGATGACCTGTTAAGGTAAACCCACAGCCTTAATGAAGTTCCTTTTTTCTAAGAATATGTGTCTGTATTTAAAATGTTTGCCTTTGATATGAAGTTTTTTAATAAAAATACATACTTTTATGGTTAAAAGGTTATACCTTGACTGTTGATGCAATCTGAAAGCAATTAAAGTAAGCATTTGATCTTTCAGAGGGAAAAGGGAAGTGAGACCATTTTCTGCTGTTGAACTCAGTCTAGCTGCCTTTGTGGTGAATTTTGAACAGTGCTTTTACTATTCACACCCACGGTGTTCTCTGCTTATAGACTGTCAGCAAATACAGGTGGCAAATTTTATATTACTTTGTCAATGGTGAACACTTTGCCAGCTGGATCAGAGAGACTTTATTTTAGCATTTTCTCTTGAGGTTTATCTATCTAGGGGCTTCTGGGAGTATAGTCTGGGGAGTTGCATTGCTACCTCAAAGACACCTGACAGTTCGAATAGCCACTGACTCTGAGGGATAACGATGGGCAGTCTTTTCCTGTTACTTATATCCGTTGAAAACCCAGTATGAGTCTGTTCCAACTTGAAGGCAGCATGTGGTTCCTGTCAGAACTAACCCCTGACCATCTCTGACTGGTTGTCACATTATGGACCCTCAGGCAAAATCCTGCCTACCACCTTCTCTTAAATCTTGGAGCACAGCCACACCCATTGTTGATGTCAGTAACTTTTATGACACAATCACAGAGATGAGTAGTTGCAACAGATTCCATGGCTTACTTGCTGCCTAGCCCTTTTTGCTGTTGGGCCCATTTATTGTTAGGTGTCGTCGAGTTGCCTGCAACTCAGCAACCCTACATACAACAAACAGCTCTGAACCCTGCTCTATCCTGAGCCATTACGGGGGGTAGGGGGTGGGGAATTGTCCTGGAGAACTGTCAGAAGATTCTTGAACTAGCCAGGTCCGCCAGGGTTTAGGGCCTGCTTTCCAAGGCAGTTTTGACCTGGACAGGCCCTTGAAGCCGCTACATGCTAAATTCACTCTTTTCCCCTGGTTTGTTTACAAGCATGGCCAAATTACTTTTGAGCCAGCTCTTTGTTGTCTGTCCCTAGTCATTCACAAGAGGAGAATGAGTACCTTTTGGAAGAAGTATTTTTAAATGTGCAGGTTTTAGGATGATTATTTCTTAGATGTTTTTGAATGAAGTTTGGTAATAGTTATTTTGCACAGTTGAATAACAGAACTTTATAACCTAGTATTTCTTACACTTTAGCAAGAGACAGAATTAGCTGGAGAAGTAGTTAAAACTCATTGCTAGGTCCTTTTCCTAATAAAGGGAGCTTTAGTGGCATAGTGGTAAGAAGCTATAATGAAATTCCAAAGGCACACAGGTTGAATACACCAGCTGCTTCGTGGGAGAAGGATGGACATTCTTGTGATTTACTGCCTCTGAAAACCCACAGAAGGGTCAACAATGAGTAAGTCCTGACTCAGGCTGCAACAGGTGTTTTAAAGCTATGGAAGAGGGACCTTCCTTTTGTTCTCCCAAAGTTCCATACAGCTTCAAGTGTGGTTTTTGACTGGCAACACCATCATGTGGGAGTTTGTTAGACATGCAAATTCCTGGGCCCACATGGAGATTGCCCATTTTTCTACTGAAGAGCGGCTGGTAGACTTGAACAAACAAGAGACACTGCCTTTGGCCAGCAGTGCAACTCCATACAGATTAATAAAGAGGTAAGTAGTCTGTGATTTACAGCCTCTGAAAACCAGTAGAGGAAGGGCCAATTAAAATTGGATTTGAGCTCCGCAATTAGTTTTGAGTTTACTCCCAATGGATTCTGATTCAGAGGTCTAGGGTGGGCCCAGGAATTTGCTGGGTCCTCCAATCCATTGTAGTACCACACAGAACTCATAGAATTATGTCCAGAGTTAGGGAATTTATTAGGAAAGTTAGCAGGCTTCAGTTTAGTTTGGAAATAGTACACAATTCTTCAGTCAGGATAGCCTCTCACAAGCCCTTCACCCTTCAGCCCCGTGGCTTTAGATCAGTTTTGCAAAGCTCTATTTGTACTGCCAGTTACGGGGTCTCTTCACACACCCCCTCCTCAGACTTCCTCACCTCTGCCTTCCAGCAAGCTTGAGCAAAGTTTCCCATATCTAGCTCTGGCTCCTGCTCCATGGGGCAACAGTCCTTAGCTCAGTCTCACATCAGTCTCCCATCCTGCACTGCTACAGCAGTGTCTTGGTCTCAGTCTGCCTTGTTCTACAGTAATCTCTGGTCCCAAAAGACATGTGAAGGTGACAGCAGTTGGTGTGGAGAAAGAATCCCCCCAGTTCTCTAATGTGGCCCAGGTCTTTGATTGTACATTGTTGTGGTTTTTTTTGTTGTTGTTGGGTTGGTTTTTTTTAATAGTCATTCCAAATAATCGCAACATGGCAATGTGGCAGGAAGCTCCTGCCTTTCCAAAAGCTTCTCCCTTCCCCTAAGCAGAAGAGCCCCATTCCCCACCCAGGTCCACGCACGAACAGGGGTGGCAGGGAGCATTGCTTTTATGTAAATTAGACCCCTATCCAATTTTTTTTTGTTAAAAAAATCTTCCACCTTAATACTTGTTCTTTAGTTTTTGTTTTCAATAGTCAGCCATTGGAGGCCCTATTTTTTTGAGGCCCTTGCCCCTTCCCCCAAACTCTAGAAATAAGAAGGCTTATGGTCTCCCTGGGGTGGCTGAGATGTGGAGGCAGCCAGGGCTTTACCTGTACACTGATTTGAGACCAATTGAATAAAAATGCACACCTTAAAAAAAAAGGTGATTCTCCTTTCTTATGAGTAGTAAGATTTCCATTTTTCTGCCTATGAGCTCTAAGGGAGCTCAGGTGGTGTGTTCCATAGGGAGTTGCCCTGTTCCCTAAATCATGTACCTCTCTAGTTCAAATCCACAGCTGCTCCACTGGAGAAAGATGGGGCAGTCTCCTCCATGTTGTTTACAGACTTTGAAAACCCACTGGAGTGTCAGCTATGAGTCTGATTCAACTTGAAGCCAATGAGACTGAATCTGAAACCTGCTCAGTTGAAGCTTGGGAGGGCAAGGCTGACAAATTTTGTCAATAATTAAAGAGTTAAGATGCACTTGATCCAGGCTTTTATCTTCATAATTGTTATGCATCAGAAAACTGGACAATGGCTAAAGATGACAGAAGAATTGATGCCTTCAAATTGTGGTGCTGGAGCAGAGTCTTGAACATAACCATGGACTGTCAAGAAAACAAATAGGTCTATCTTGGAGAGGGTGAAACCAAGTTTCTCCTTGGAGGCTAGGGTTTTGAAGCGCCATCTCATACTTTGGGCACGTGGCCAGGAGAGAAAAAGTCCTTGGAGAAGGACATCATACTCTGAAGGGTGGAGGGACAGCACAGGAGAGGAAGACCCTGGATGAGAAGGATTGATACAGTAATGGTAGCCATGGGGATAGGTATGTCAGAGTCAGGGAGACTGGCTCAGGTCAGGGCAGGCTTCAGAACTGCTGCACATAGGTTTACAGGTGACTTGATGACACATAAGAACAAGCAGAAGACCAAATTGGTGTTGGAGTAAGTGCAGCCTGAATGCTTCTCAGAAGTGAGGTTGGTAAGACCTCATCTTCCATAATTTGTATGTGTTATCAGTAGGAACTGGCCCTGGCGAAGGATTCATGCTTAAGAGTCAGAGGAAACTATGAGAGAGATTGAAATAGTGGCTGCAACTGTGGCCTTGAAGATAGCAATATATCTCAATCTGGGTTTTCTAGAGCAACAAAACTAGTGAAACTTACATAAAGCCACTGCACTTGAGTCCTTTCCAACTCATATGGACCCGACATCAGGTTTCTGAGGCTGCGAATCTTTATGGAAGGAGATTGTCCTTCCTTAGTGAATTCAAACCTCCAGCCTTTTGTTTATTAGCCCAGTGTTAAACTCTACCAGGGGAGCGGGTGATTCAGAGAGTCATTGAGATTCGTTGCAAGAAAATAGTTCACGTTTGCCTGGAAACTGGCAAGTCTCACCTCCACGGACCAGATGTCAGGATTGAAGAGTCTCCTGACTCACTTGGCTGCAGAGGCTAATGAAGCTAAGGTTGACACACATGAGAAATCAGTGTATTGCCTTCAAAGATTGCGGATCCAAGATTAAGCAGACTACTGGCTCAAGTCCAAAGAGCCAGAAGTGATGAGTTTGATGAGAGATCTTGATCAAGTGAAAGCTAGCTTTGCAGTAAAGTCATCCTTCCTGGTTTGTTGTTACGTGTCATCAGGTCACATGAGACTCATAGTGACATTATGTACAACAGCTCTGAACTCTCTATCCTGAGCTAACCTCATTGTCTCTGATACACCTACCCCCATTACCCCAGTCACTGAGTCAATCCATCTCATCCAAGGTCTTCCTCTCCTGCCCTGTTCCTCCACCCTCCCAAGCATAATGTCCCTCTCCAAGGACTAGTCCCTCCTTGCAACATGGCCAAAGTATGTCAGACAGTTTCAGAATCCTTGTCTCCAAGAAGCAACCTGGTTTCACCTTCTCCAGGAAGAACCAATTTGTTCTCCTAATAGTTCATGTTCTCTGCAATACTCTTCAGCACCATAACTCAAAGGCATCAATTTTTCTTCTTATCATCCCTAGTCGTTGTCCAGCTTTCTGGTGGATCAAGTACATCTTAGTCTCCAGACTGACATCATTGCTCTTCAGTACTCTGGAGAGGTTCC